CTCTGTCCCCCAAAAAATAAATAAACGTTGAAAAAAAAAAAATTCAAAGCTGAGTAATTACTGTTTCCTTAATTTATAGATTTTCTTTTAAATAAATCACCTTTTTTTTTTGCTTTCCTCCCCAACCCCAAACAGATTGAGGAAGAGATGTTGGCTTTGCAGAATGAACGCACAGAACGAATAAGAAGTCTGTTGGAGCGCCAAGCCAGAGAAATCGAAGCTTTTGACTCTGAAAGCATGAGACTAGGTTTTAGTAACATGGTCCTTTCCAATCTTTCCCCTGAGGCATTTAGCCACAGCTACCCGGGAGCTTCTGGTTGGTCTCATAATCCTACTGGGGGTCCAGGACCTCACTGGGGTCATCCCATGGGTGGCCCACCACAGGCTTGGGGCCATCCAATGCAAGGTGGACCCCAACCATGGGGTCACCCTTCAGGGCCAATGCAAGGGGTACCCCGAGGTAGCAGTATGGGAGTCCGCAATAGCCCTCAGGCTCTGAGGCGGACAGCTTCTGGGGGACGGACAGAGCAGGGCATGAGCAGAAGCACGAGTGTCACTTCACAAATATCCAATGGGTCACACATGTCTTATACATAACTTAATAATTGAGAGTGGCAATTCCGCTGGAGCTGTCTGCCAAAAGAAACTGCCTACAGACATCATCACAGCAGCCTCCTCACTTGGGTACTACAGTGTGGACGCTGAGTGCATATGGTATATTTTATTCATTTTTGTAAAGCATTCTGTTTTGTGTTTACTAATTGAGATGTCATAGCATTTGGCTGCCGGGTTTTGTTTTGTTCTTTAACTTCTGGAAAAATTTTGAAAGGGGGAATTGTGTGTATGTAAAAAGAAATTGGCTAGATTGGGGGTAATTTTTGAACACTGTAAAAATAGAATACAGCATAGTGGCGTGAGTCATCACTTTGGGGCTACTGTATTCTAAGAAATTTGTGAAAAGATCTAAAGCCTTCCCCACACCCCAAATTCTTATGAGCCACTCACAGCAGGCAGGCAGCATATGTTGAGCCAAGTGATTATGGAAACACACCTGTATCCCCTCACCAGTGTATTTTCTTTATTAAATTGGTCTGACTTCTCGGCCTCATTTGGAGTAAAAGAGTAGAAATTCACGAACACTAAAGGGTTGCATTGACTTTTACAGAGAGTAGAAAACAACTTAGTTCTTTTTCTGAATGCTGCATAGGTTTGTCAGTTTTTGTTTTTGTTTTGTCCGTTCAATTGTGCCTTCTTTGTGGCATGGTGAGATGGAGGTGCTTCAGGAGATCACAAGTTGTGTGGGAATTGCATCAACAAACCTGTGAGCCTTCAAAGGGGAGACTGGAAGGTGAGAGAGGCCCCTGAAAGTTCATGTGGTGGGTATGTTCAGCAGCAGAGTGAGGAGATGAAGCCTATATATCCTAATGTTTTATTGCTTTTACTGTGATATCTCATCCTAGCTAAGCTCTGTAACTCCCAAGACCCCAAACAGTACTTTTACTTTGTACAAAAACAGACATATAGCCAATATAAATCAAATGCCAGAGGTATTTGAAGGATGCCATATTTGCAAACTGCCATCCATTGGAATTCTCATTACACTACATAGACATAATTTGATTATCCTCCCCCTTTTGGCTTATGGGATTTCCTGTTTACAAGTAGAATAGCCAATTATTTAAATATTTAGTTGCCATAGTGAACCAGGAGTCACTGAGCCAATGACTTTACCAGCTGCTGACTAATCCTCATCACCACTGTAGATTTTGCTGCATGTGCAGGTCTTTTTTTTTCTTTTCTCTCTCTCTCTCTTTTTTTTTTTTTTTTTTTTTTTTTTTTTTTTGGGCTGTTTTTGTTGCTGCAATACTTTAGAAACTTTTAGTTCCTTGAGACTTAGTGATCATTTGGCATCATGTTAACATCACACAGTAGGAAACACCACTTCCAGAAGTCTCTAGCCTGAGTGCTAAAGTACTACTGAAAAGGAACTATCAAGTTTGGCAAATTAAAAAAGACAAAAAAAAAGGTTAAGTAAGTTATAGTGGTCAGGGAATCTCTTAATGAAAGCTAACTTTTTTTTTTCCCCCAGAGAGGGGCATGTTTTGTTTTGTTTTATGTTTTGCAATGAAGGATCAACCCAACGCTAAAAGTCAGATGTTCCTTGGCATTCCACACCCAGTGTGGAAATTGAGTTGAAGGTGGTTAAGGAGCTATGAGTATGACTTGAAGGAAAAAAAATGTCCTTCCCAGTGACAGATCAGAGTTTCTTACAAGTTATTGCCCTGCCCCCTCCCCAGTTGTCTTGAAGAACCCTTGCTACTAACTCTGGGTCCTCATTTTCATGTGGTCAGAGGACTCCAAGTTAGAATTCCCTAAGTCTCACTCAGTGACACCTAGACCTGAGTGATGACCAAACAGTAATCTATCACTGTTGAAATCTTGGTTTTTCTCAACCAAATTTAAGTCTTCCCCAGGTATGTCAGCCCAATCTCCATGAAGCCTCCCCTTTAGGAGTTTCTGGCATTCATTTAAAGGTAACTGGAAGAAAAAAATAATATTTTAATGTAAATTTTTAAAAAACCAAGGTAACAGTAGAATTCACACTCAGTTTAGGCAGTGTTTCAGATAACACTATGATACATTGTCCTTTTGACCATGCTCACGATCACTAGTTATTAGGTGAATATAACATGCACTTGTCATATCTAATGAAAGGGGCTTCTGATTTTCTGAATCTCTCTTTTCTGGCATTAAAATATTACCGTATTTCAAACAAACTGAGATATATACCTGTTTGGAGGAAAATGATAGGAGAGCTCTTTAGAATTAATTAAATGTCCAAAAATGTAATGGAATTTTATATATTTCAAAAAACTATCATTCAGTCTGGCCAATCTGTACTACTGGAGGGGGTGGAATATGGAAGCAGATCAGTTTTGCGTACGAAACTCTTTAAAATCCAAAATACTACCCGTGATACATGCTAGAGTCTACTTGTGGACTTCATCAAATCGAGTTATTGAGTTCATATATACTTTTAAAATCGTGATTGAGTACTGACTCCGCATGTCTGTCCAGTAGGGCTTTGTATCTATCTGATTGAATTGCATGACAGCCAGTTTTACATGTAGGTCATGACTATACCTGGATTATTCCATTAAGTTAATTTAATTAAAATATTTATAGTTTGCAAAAATAATTTCACTTAATTGGTTTGTGTGATCTGACTTCTGAGGAATCTCATACATGGTAGGAATCATCAAAGAGTAAAGCTTGTAGCAGGAAAATATGAAAAGTTTTGAGAGATCCTAAAGAAAGAAGCAGGCACTTTCTGAGTCAGTGTACAAATGTCAACATTTGATCAAATTAATACTACCTCCTCCCCAGTGTTGGTGTTCACTTGGTATATATGTATTTAAGAAAATAAAAAGTATGGGAAATTTGTCCAGCATATCAGAACGTTGTAAATGCTATATCTGGTATCCAGAGCTTGGCAGTAAAAAGTTTCTTGTGTTCACTGTCTCTCCCATTTTTTAAGTTAGCATTTTAAAAATGCAAAACCTCATACCTTGAAATATATTATTCCTAATTGGGTTTCCTTCCTTTTGCACATACTTTTTCTCTTCTTATTAAAGTTAGCTCTAACCCCAAATTATAGGATCTGAAAGTATTTTCATGATATAGAGAATGTTAGCTGGAAAATGTGTTTATATTGTTTTTATTTAGAGCTGCCAGTCCTTTTAGTCCTTTCTATGCCTAGAGATGAATAGTCCTGCGTTTGAACCACCCCACAGGTATAATATGCTTGGTACCCAAGGCCAAGGGTTTATTGATAAATTGAACTTTTTAGCAAAGTCATTATGATTTTCAGCTACCTAGACATCAAGACCATTCAGTACACTAAAACTGTCCTTGAGTCTCCTCCCTATTTTTCCTCACCCCCCATCCCCAAATCGAAAACTCTATGAGTATCTTTCTCAGACCGTAAGGCTGACTTTAGTAACTTTCTACTTCTTTAAGTACTAAATGTCTGGCATTTTAAACTTTTATAGAATACATTGTGTTGGACACTGGAATAATACTGTTTATTTTCACCTGTGAAAAAATGACTATTGTACTTGAAACACCTCCTTTGCATTTCTCCATTTGTGCCATTCACTAGTGGAAATAAATTGTATTATACCATGATCTACTGGCTTTTTAAAACTGTGTTAAATATGCACATTTTGGTATAGTTATTATCATTTGTATGTATATACTGTATATACATATGAGTGTCTATATGTGTGTATAGATAGATGGATGTAATTCATACTGTACATTTCCATCAGGGTGCTTAAGGTTCTGTTATTTTGTTATTTCAGTCCTCAGTTAAGGCAAGAATGCATGTGTTTCTTAAGAATGAGTATTCTGGGTTGATATTTATGAGAAGGTGGTCATTAGATGCAATCGTTTCTTTTTTACTCCCTTCTTAGCACTTGTGTGGGTGGAAAGAAAGTTAAGTAAATGTGGAACCATAAGTTGCAATGCAGTAAAATAATGCCAGGGGAGGAGCCAGTTAGTGTCTCTGTGAGTTTGTGTTGTGATGCAATAAACGATAAGTGGTGCAGAGAGAAATGAACCGTGGAAATTACAAACACTGGTGGTGATTCCTCTGCCAAGATGATGAAAAGAACCAGTAAGTCACAGTCTCCATGTGCGCGATCTCGGTGTATTTCTTAGTAGTGATGCCATTGATCCTCTTGCTCTTTTTACTCCATTGATACTAACACTTACACATTTTGCTAAGGACCAAAACAGCCAAGAAAGGAATTACTACTAAAGCATCTAAGGTTCTCCTAAACGGTGAGATCAACAGGAAATGGCCACTGGGAGAGAAGGATATGGTATTGGTGTGGGGCTTTCTCCCTTGAGCTGCCTCTTCTTGCTTGCCAATAGTTAAGTTCTTCATGCACCTTCCAGCTCTTCTGAGCCACTACTATTCAAGCACAGATTTGGCCCAACACAGCAACCCTTTCCTGGGAGGTTTATATGGTCCTGCATTCTGTCCCATGCTTACAATGTGAAGTGTGTAGTGTGTATTCAAGTCAGAAAATAATATATTTAAGGTATAGAAGTGTGAATCTCCTATAATGATGGAAGAAGAGGTTCTTGTTTCTTAGATAGAAAACTACCTTCTCTAAGGAACAAAGCCAAAACTTGGGCTGTCATCTTTGAGCTGCTTACCAAAATACAGATCATTATTAAAGAGAGACAAAGTCTCTCTTCTTTTCCCTCACCTAACATGATAGTGCCCCTGAGGTTGTAGCATCGCCTTTGAGAAGGCGCTCACTTACTCTTAAGTTGAGAACTGGAAATTTCCCATCCTCAGATTCCCTAAAGGATGAAGGCTGTGCTGTACACTTAGCAGACTTGCCTCTTGTATGCAAGGACTACTGATTGAAGTCTGTCTTGCTGTGTGTGTGGTTATGTTGTCTGCACTTTTATGAAATCACCACAATAGGTCTGCATTGGATATGACTATTAATTTGTAAGGAAGTAAGTTTTATTTAAACATTGTCTAGAAAAAGAAAGTGAAGCTGAGAACTCTTCCGTTA